ATGGTTTTGGTACGCGACCGATCAAACGGTCTAGACACGAAGCACGCAAGACTACAACGAATGGGGGTTGCCAGAAGAGGATGTTCCGGTCCCGTGACTGGACACGACGAATACAGTACCTTGCCAAGCTGATTCAGTACAAGCCTTATATAGTCGATGCCTACATCAAAGCGCAAGCACCAAAAAACATGCTGCGCATGATTAAGTATGTAGGGCAGGTGGGTATCACAGAGGATGTGCACTTAGCGTTCCAGGCACTACGCAACGCATACCTCGCGACTTTCCCCCCTCCGCTGTTTAAACAACGTAAGGTACCTCAACCGGTAGTGGTTGGTTTCACTCGTTCTGTTGCAGACTCCTTGGGGCTCCGTGGGATGTTTATGCGGGCAAATATTCTAGCCCCCCCAACACCGTGCATTCCGTGACGCTATACAACGTAATATCCCTTGTTATAAGTATGGTGACACCTTAGATATTATGATGTTCAATACCACCAACGTAGCGAGATGTGTAAATCATGGTAAATATAGATGTATTTGCAAAGACCCCCAATGGAGTAAGTACACGGTTGTTGCCAAGGATGGTTCCAAATGTTTGATTACTACAGATGCCTGATGTCTTCAGGATGACAACGCTGCAGCTGTGCTAAACCTACAAGCTGGTTTTAGAGCAGAATATGCTGAAGCCTTGAATGACCTGTCTTTTTTTGAATCGCTCATAGACGCCATAGAANATATATAGCTATATACAGAGACTATGGGTGGGGATGAATTTTTGAAAGCGGCGCCTCTAATTGGCACAAACCACCGCATTTGGGCGGAGCTAGGTTCGCAAAGTGCCAGGAAATGCAGAGCAAAATATTCTTTTGAAATCGAGCTCGATTCAAGGGAAATACAGCCAAAACAACAAACAGAGGGTAAACTCGAGAAAAAAAGTGAATGAAGGCTTCCATCTAAAAAAATCCAGATTGCCCTACCCATGGTGGCTGAGCCAAAACATGTGTGTGTTGAGGAGTGAAGTTTGGGGGTAGAATGAAGTCGGGAACATCTCGCGACCCTCGTAAATGGTAAACGATTCTAGCGCCTGTCATGTTTGGTCTGTACCGTTTTTGACGCTGTTGAGAGGTTGAGGTTGAATCTAGAAAATCTGTAGATGGGTGCGTGAATGTGTCCGGAAGTTGGTGTTGAGGCCACAAACCAACCGTAGATTTGAGATTGTGCCGTCTGAAAGTAACTCTAGAATAGATAACTTTGCCTTGGCCCCGCCACGAATGACTCGAGTTTGGTGGTGGATGACCTCCGGATTCCCTACGGTGGATGATGATTTTGTCTCCACTGTTAAACGCGAGAGGCAGATCTCACTGTATATTTTATCCTTCAGCGACCCTGCGTGCGTTGCCATCGCCCACAAAGGTCGTCTGTCTGCGCATCATCTACACACGCCAACGCATTGGACGCTCTTTGCGTGCGGTTCATTTCTCTTCCAATTTCGGGCACATGAAGGAACGGGAGGTCATCGCCGCACAATGTGTTGCATTCAGCTTATCTTTACGTGCTTCTCTCGTTATTTTTCCTGGCGGACATCGCCACTATATTTCTACTAACCCATCCGGGATCTGAGACAGCACAACGGATACCAACACAGACACGATCAGCGACAAAACAAACTATCACGCTCATGCACAAATACAAATACGAACGAAAGAACAACCGACCGGCAATTCACACACAAGGACGCACAGGCGTCTAGAATGACTGGTAAAACACTTTAGTCGTGCACCACGAATAATCCACCAACAACTCAAGCACGAGTAGACATTCGAGGCGAGGCACAATCGACAGACAGGGTGCAAACACAACGCCGGGGGAGCTGGCTAGTCACCTCAATGGTACAGGGTGCACACCAACACACAACATCGTACACTAGATACATGTACACCGCTTGACTCTCGTTCGTTCCCAGTCAAGAATTTTTCGTGTCACGGCTCGCTCGCTCGCGTACCATCTCTGGCGATCTGTTGCCAGCGACCGCACAGCGTCCAAATTCCATCCAAATTTAAGGAAATACACAAAACAATCACAAGAGGCCATGCTAATCAAACTAGCATCCCTTTTTAGTCGATCTCCTCGATCTTGGGGCCGGCGTCCGCCTCCGCGTCCGGAGCAGGTGCCGCCCCTCCGGCGGGGAACCCGGCGCCACCCATGTCGGGCATGCCACCGGGCATACCCCCCGGCATGCCACCGCCCGCCCCGCCGGCCATCTTCTGGATGATGGGGTTGCACACACCCTCGAGCTCCTTCTGCTTCTCCTCATACTCCTCCTTCTCGGCGTTTTGGTTGGCGTCGAGCCAAGCAATGGTCTCCGAGATCTTGGTCTCAATCGTCTTTTTGTCGGCTTCGTCCAGCTGCGCGGAAACCTGTTTTTCGTTCCGGGAAAGAGAGTGGACAGGATGTGGAAATATTAGTAAGGACGGAATGCTTGTGGGTTTATCGGTTTATCAACACATGTGTGTAAAAATTTCAAACCAAAACCAAGCATTTTGGCCATGCCGTCATAGTTTCCTCATATGTACAAACAATTCGACGTATTTCAGTGGTCCCCCCAACGAGCCGCCATCTCACATACGTACTCGCCACAACAAAAAGATGCGTGCAGGACAACCCCACACGCAGGACTACACAAACGGCGGATAGACACGGACAAAAACATGGACATGGAAGGCGTGACACGGCCAAGATACGCACCTTCTCCTCGTTGATGGTGTTGCGCATCGAGTAGGCGTAGTTCTCGAGCGAGTTCTTGCCCTCCACGCGGCTCTTCTGGACGTCGTCCTCGGCCTTGTAGCGCTCGGCCTCCTCCACCATGCGCTCGATTTCGTCGGCGCTGAGACGGCCCTTGTCGTTGGTGATGGTGATCTTGTTCTCCTTGCCGGTGGACTTCTCCACGGCATGCACGTTCAGGATACCGTTCGCGTCGATGTCGAACGTTACTTCGATCTGCGGCTGGCCCCTGGGCATGGGCGGGATTCCGTCCAGGTTGAACTTGCCCAGGAGGTTGCAGTCGCGGGTCATGGTGCGCTCACCCTCGTACACCTGGATCAGCACACCCGGCTGGTTGTCAGCGTAGGTCGAGAACACCTGCGACTTCTTTACCGGCACCGTGGTGTTGCGCTTGATGAGCGTCGTCATGACGCCGCCGGCCGTCTCGAGCCCCTGTCCGAGCGGGGTCACGTCGAGGAGCAGGAGCGAGTCGAGCTTGTCTGACTTGTCCTTGCCCGAGAGGATGGCGGCCTGGACGGTGGCGCCGTACGCGACGGCCTCGTCAGGGTTGATGGACTTGCACGGCTCCTTGCCGTTGAAGAACGCCGAAAGCATCTGCTGCACCTTGGGGATACGCGTGGACCCTCCTACCAGCACCACCTCGTGGATCTGGCCCTTGGACATCTTGGCGTCCTTCACCACCTGGTTGGATTTCAAGGGAGAAAGAACAAAAATGTGGAAAGGGTTGAGGGATACGCTGCGATGGCGACAGGGTTAAGTAACCTTACGCGTGTTGGAGGAACAAAAAGCACAGGAAAGTAAAGCGGATACACACACATCTACGACCACGGCTTGCGATATCTCTGCTCTTTGAAGGTGCCATGAACACGCAGATGACTTGTCCAAAGAGCACGTGAGTGCGTAAGTATGTGGGGTTCAATTCGAAAGAACGAGAGACGTGCATGCTCAACAGATCTGCCCACTCCATCGAAATGGACGCGGCACACACCTTTACACAAAGCTACTTTTCCCGGTCTGAAATTAGTTGTGTATTTCAGAGTTAGGCTGTGTGCGGCAAAATCTCACCTTCTCCACGGGTGACAAGCACTTCTGGAAGTAGTCCTGGTTCATGTCCTCGAACCGGGCGCGAGTGATGGTGGAGTTGAAGTCGATGCCCTCGAACAGGGAGTCGATCTCGATGTGCGCCTGGGTGGACGACGAGAGGGTTCGCTTCGCGCGCTCGCACGCCGTGCGGAGACGTCGTAGGGCGCGCTGGTTGGTGCTCATGTCCTTGCGGAACTTCCGCTTGAACTCCTGCAGTGTCAAAAAGAGGGAAAAGGGGGGGGGGAGGGGACGGGTCAGGGAAAGGCGACCCCAAGGACCATTTGTTCCGTACACACGAATGAAAGACGAATATTTTGCTGTGCTCACTACCGCTGGTCGACGCCAACACTTTCGAAAAAATCAACAAACAAATCGCCCAAAGGAACACCCTCCACAATCAACAGCAACTCTTGGGTTTATAAATACAGGACGAAGGACATGCACCGCCTACGCACCTGCAGGAAGTAGTCCACCATGCGGTTGTCGAAGTCCTCCCCTCCCAGGTGGGTGTCCCCCGCGGTAGCCTTCACCTCGAAGATGCCCTCCTCGATGGTCAGCACGCTCACGTCGAAGGTTCCGCCGCCCAGGTCGAAGATGAGCACGTTGCGCTCCTCGCCCTTTTTGTCCAGGCCGTACGCGATGGCCGCGGCGGTCGGCTCGTTGATGATGCGCATTACGTTGAGGCCCGAGATGGATCCGGCGTCCTTGGTCGCCTGGCGCTGGGAGTCGTTGAAGTACGCGGGCACAGTGATCACCGCGTTCTTCACCTGAACGTGTACGTGGCAGTTCAAAGCACACAGGGTGGGAGAACTGAGGTTGAGCATCAGGGTGCCGTACAGAGTGGGGAGTCGTACTACACATACCTTCTGTAGTGTGGTATGTTTGCGGCGTGCTGGACATGGGCGATCGCCACCAGATTACATGAAACAATGTACAACGAGGTAAATCTTCATGGATCGCCACCCAATATCGTCTCCATCTCTTGACCAAACAGGGACCGGCAGAAACCAAAATAGGCCGATGTGCATCGTGCCGAACAGAGGTATTGCAGTTAGCTCGTGATTCACTACTGTTGTCGTCCATAAGGCACGTCCTGTGGCTTACTTACAACTTCCTCTCACATGCACTCCCGTTAAATGTAGCACAAGCATTGTTCCCACAATTCCGTGGTAAAAGGGTGAGAAGTGTGTGCAACGCGACGGAGGAACGTCCGTGGAATCAGTCAAGGTTTAACACATCCAGAAACGAGCAGGTCTTGTACTCAGCAGTGGTCGCTATATTCTCGCCACGGCTGGATAACGCGCGTCGGTCGGAAGTCGTTCTAGAAGGTGGTCCTTAAATTTCTAAATTTCAAATTTCACAATTTCATTCAAATTTCATAAATTTTATTAAATTTCAAAAATTTTATTAAATTTCAAATTTCAAAATGTAGGACATACCCATACAGCATACCACGTGTGGTCCGATTTTGAAAAAGAGAGGTTGTTCCGGCTTCGGGAGTGCGGAGAGATAGGATATGTACAGACTAGCGCAACAAGGCGCACGGCGCTCAAGGGTGAAAACTACATAAATCCATCATCAGCATATCGTACGCACAGGACTGAGTTCCATCAGCACGGTGCCAGAAGCACCAAACCCTGCGAGGGGTGGCCCAACGAGAGAGTCGAGACACACGTACATGTAGCGTTCTTCGGCGCGTTCTAGAAATATGGCGCGAATGAGCAACAAGTGAGGGAAGGCAGGCATGAAATTCCAACAACAAACCTCCAGAGCAACGCCAGATCCACCCCTCAAACATAGGCTAACAAGCACTCTCAGCATGACAGGCAGCCACTCGAAGGCAAACACTTTTAGTTCTCTCGCTAACTCACCTCCTTGCCAAGGTAGGCCTCGGCGATCTCCTTCATCTTGACCAGCACCATGGAGGAGATCTCCTCAGGCGCGAACTGCTTCTTCTCGCCCTTGAAAGACACCTCGATGGTGGGCTTGCCGCCTGGGCCCTCGACAACATGGAAGGGCCAGTGCTTCTTGTCGGAGGCGACGGCCGGGTCGGTGTACCTGCGGCCGATGAGCCGCTTGGCGTCGAACACGGTGTTGGTGGCGTTCATCGCCACCTGGTTCTTGGCGGCATCGCCGATCAGGCGCTCCGTCTCGGTGAAGGCAACGTAGGACGGAGTCGTGCGGTTGCCCTGGTCGTTGGCGATGATCTCCACACGGTCGTTCTGCCACACGCCCACACAGGAGTAGGTCGTGCCCAGGTCGATGCCGATGCTCTCTCCCTCGACTGCTGCCATGTTTTCTGCTGTTAGTCTCGCGATATGTTCAGGTGTGTTCTTGCGATGTGTGTTTTCAATTCTTGTGGGCAGAGGGGGCGCAAGAGGCCATGTGAGATTTACTTCGAGAAAAAGCGAACATGCCTCCGCCAGCAACACGGAAGTTCTAGAACAAAATATGGTTCTAGATGGTTCAGTTCAATCTCCTACCTCTTTCAGCCATGTGCGGATCCCCTTGGCAAAGAGTTTGAGGACTTGAGGGTTTGCTGTTTGCTGAAACCCGGTGTCACAGCAGTGCAGCAGTGCGGCCGCACGGCGGGTACGGTGTTACCCCACTCCGTTCCCGCCTACCTCAGTGCACTCCCCGCCGTCACTCTCGTTTTCTGTTCTTCTCTCTCACGTGCAACCCTTTGGAATCCTCTTTGCGTGAAGAATAACCTATTTTCTCAAGAGTTGCGAATCGTTGCCGAGCACTTCACTTCCTGCTGCCGAGGCAACCTCTCGGCGGCGATGGCGGGAGGGCGGGACTATGGCTTCGATTTCATGAAGAGCAGCCACCACGAGCAACGATTGCCAGGTGGTGGGTGGAATTGCCCGTCGCGTTTTTTTGACTAGAGGCCATCTTTGTTGCATTGATCTTCTGCTCGGCCTGCCGCGTACCGTAACACACGTTTATGCCGCGCGTATTAGACTAAGCAAACACCAAAGCGGAGATATCACAGGCCGTCGACAATCGGCTGAGCATGTTCTTCAGGCACATGCGTGCTACTGGATGTATGCATGTACATGTGCTTCTAAAGATTGTGGCCCCACATTGACGGTCGCAAAGGGTCGGGGGATAATAAATGTGTGACATGATGATCACATAACCCGCGGAACCCTCTGCACTTGGTCACCCCTGTCGTTGAGGGCCTTCATTGCATCGTTTCCCAAAATCTACGTCCTGTCTCGCCTTTGCGCACTGCTGGGGCTATAGGTACGCCCGTTTCCCGCCATATGCGTAGCACATATTGTAGAACTTGGTCGTCCAATGCATATTTGATGGCAGAGAATGATAATCTCGTCAGCGCATGACGCAAAATACCACCCCCTCGACTGAATTGGGAAAGCAGATGAGAGGAGAATTTTTGCCACGAAGTTGGCGCGGCATCTCACGGGAGGCTTCCGAGTTCATGTGTAGAACCCACCTTGATGTGCCTTTGTTGGCTGGGAAATCCTCAAGACTACATATTTCATATGGACTTTTGTTTTCTGAGATGTGGTCCTCGCTGGAACTTTGACTTGTTCTATGGGTTGGGGGCTGTATCGGTGGAGACTGGTTCATTTGTTAATTTGCATGTTTGAGAAGTAGGCGAGAGGAAGTACCGGTAGAGGTCAGATGAGGCTAGAGGTTCCGAACGGTTTTTGATATGAAGGCAACGCAACAGCAGCGTTCCCAAGTTCGAGAAGTTGTTTTGAACTTCATTAATTTTACCGTCTGTCATCGTTGCTGTTGCGTTGAACGCTAAAAAATCAGGAGGCTCGTCTTCATCATCGACGCCGTGGCTCGGGGGCAGCGGAGCTGTGGGCGCAACGGGAGCCTTTGCCCATACCAAGGAACCGGTGTGTGCCTCTCTCTCTTTCTCCCTCTCTGAATGTGATGTTGCGAGCATTTTCTTGCATACTGTAAGAACAAACACTGCGCCTCGCCTGTCGGCCAGTCTTACGAAACGAATATACTGCAGATTGTCAACCTTCGTCTCGCTAGATGTCAGAAGCTCTCGTGAGTACCTAACTTCGACGTTAGCACCGTTGACGAGGGAAAGGGACGGCTGGACCCTTCTCGCGATAAAAATAAAGTTCAGCACGCACCCCAGGAGGAAGGTGGGGCATGAAAATAAATAAATAGAAGAAACAAGCCCTGGTGTTTACCCCCTCTGTGTGACCCTGGATGGTTGTACTTGTGCGGAAAAATACACTGAAAAGTGTAGTAGTCTGCATATGCTGAAAAGTGTAGTACACGTCTCACCACGAAAAATGGGGGGACTGTCGCCATAATAAATAGGACGAAAACACACACACACAGTAGTGAGCGCTAAGTTCAAATTTTATTCTGCACAGACATCATTCAAATGGTGCACAGAAGTGGCCGGTAGGGTATCGGAAGTGTCACAGATCTCACAGAACTATCCGGTAGGGTATCTGAAATTGTCACAGAACTCACAGAACTATCCGGTAGGTATCGTAGGTGTCACAGAACTCAACAGAAAAAATCGGGTTTGTACGAAGGTCGTACAGAACCCACAGATCGTAGTGGGTAGTTTCACAAATGTCTATAGACTTTTTCTGTAGGGTATTAGAGCGTCACTGAACAGATCTATCTGTGACACTTCCTATACCCTACCGGACACTTCTGTGAGATCTGTGACGCTTCCAATACCCTACCAGTTAGTTCTGTGAGATCTGTGACATTGCCATACCCTACCGGACACTTGTACTTCTGTACGCGGAACAATATAATCTGGGTCAGGCCCACCCAAACTTGAAGCGCACCTTTTCAATTGGCGGAGTACAAATCACGCGGTACTCGTACACACGCACACGCACCACACATCATTGTCGACATCCACACACACACATCAATTTGTATCTCTGTGGGACATGAGCTCCGTCTCGACCAGCGCGGACCCTCCGAGCGGATCATCATCGGTCGCTGTGGGAGTAGTCAGAACGCGGGCAAAAGCAGCAGCAGCACCACCACCACCACCAACACAATCACCAGAACGCGCGGCGGGAGAAGTAGATAGTTGGCGCGGGAGGCAGTGGTGCAGGCGTGCCTGTAACCACAGCGGCAGCGGTCCACAACAAGAACGGAGAGCCGCATGCCGTCGATGCTGCAGTGGTGAAGGCAGTTGATGACTTCAAGGTGCCCGAGGGCTATGCGAGGAAAGGGTCCCGCGAGAAGTCGTAGATGCACTCGCTAGGAGTGTACATCGAGGCGTTGAAAGGCGACAAACACCAGTTTTTCTGTTTGGCCGACCGCACGTGCCGCCGCAAGAACAAGATGATCCCCCGCAAAGGCGGCGACGGCAGCAACGTCAACCCGCACCTCAAGAACGCGCACGGACTGCAGGGGGTGGGTGGCGTCGTGAAGGAGAGAAAGAAAAAGGCAGCGAAAGAGAACATGGCGGCCAACTTCGCAGAAAGCAAGAACTCGGGTGTTGGTACGGACAGGTGTGTGTCGTCGGGTGTCTCGTTTTTTGTCACGGTCTGCTTGTGTGTGTACGTGTATGTTGTGTGTGACTACTGCTGTAAGTACTCGTGAGGAAATCCTACCTGCAAGCTACATGTATACAAGTATGAAGTGTTGGTATCTCACGCTGTCCCGGCATCCCGTTCGCAATTGCCGTGCTTCCCTGCTTCGTTTCTTTGTAGAGTCCGAGAGCTCCTGGCTGTGAAGATGGTCGCTGAGAAGTATTTGCTCTTCAGCTTTTTCTCATCTGGCACAACTTGGCGGGATCTCGCGGGGTTACTCACTGCCCTAGCCACACCTTGTCCTGCGCTCTCTTCTCGGCGCGGCAAGCACCTCCTTGTGGAGATGTACGTTGCCACGAAACAGGTCAGTGGTGTGCGCAGGCATAATCGGACTACCTCGGTAGATGAACGTGTTTTTTTCAAATTGCACAGTTTGCCAACGATCGTTTGTGTGGTTGTGGTTAGTAGAGACCACGAGGAGAGAGGAGTTGGTGCGGGTCAGCACGCCGTGACAAAATAATATGAAGTGCTCAGACTGTGGTGGTGCGAGATAGGCTTTGTATTTGGGTTTAAATTTTCTGCATTGGATCATATTCACAGGCTGTAGAAGAAGCCTGGAGGAAGGAACGAAGGTCAACATGAAGATGATTCTCTTGTATCATGTGCATGTTCTTTTCGCGATAAAGTACGGGGCCTGATAAAAATGCGGCGACGGTGGCCCGAACGACGTCTGCTCTCTGGCTCAAAATATTAACATTTGCTGTGGGGGAAGAGGATATAAATGTAACATACATAAGGCTTGCAGGCACGCTTCTTGTTGATGTATGGCGCAAATGATGACGGTAGTCTTTTTCTATATATATATATAGAAATTTGAAGAGTGTTGGTGATGTCCTTCACATATATTTTATTTTGCATTCAATCACAAGTAGGTTCCTTAGTTGCTGGTTTTGTGGAGGACATCATGATTCGTGGGCGCGAAAAAGCAAGACTTTTTAGACAGCGTACAAAGTTAATTTTTCCGTTGCTGATCCCCTCACAGGCAGTGGTCGGGAACATGCAGGAAGAGATCAACAAGGCACCTCTACCTATCATCCACTACGGGCTCGACCTGTGGACATGCAAAGTCTCTGGGCGCAAATATCTTGGCGTGCACGTCTTTTACGTGGACAGCAACTTCAGCTTGCGACACGCTCTGATTTCTGTAAGTCACGTTTTATGTTCCTCGAAACCCTCCTTCTTTGAACTTTGTCGGACTTAGGTCACGCAGTGTTTTGTGCGTTGAGTTAATTGTTTTTGTGTCGTTGCACGCAAATAAGAAAAAAAGTTCGGGTCGAGACACACTCTTCAGCCGGGAACTCTTTCTTCGAGGGTAGGCTGCACTCGATGGCGGTGACAAAATACGAAATTGAGCTTCAACGTTGACGTTTCTTACCTGGCGGCCCACACTGCTGTATGCAACAGCAGTTTCGCGCGCGCGGGGGGGTGTACTCATAGTCGTGCATGCCGTAGTCGTTAGACCATTGACCTCGCATCCCTACAAAGCCAGGACGGAGCACGCCGGGTTCTCACCGGACCACGCTCTCACATCACCAAGCGCGAAGCGCCGTGAGATATTCGGCGAGTCGCATGGAGGGTGCGCTGCATCCTGCTAAGGGTGTTCGGCATCTTGTGC